GAGCCTTCAGTGCTAAAGTAACTTCCTCTAGACCTATTTTCCCATTCAGATGATCATTAATGATTGGATCTAATTGGTCGGTAGGGAACTGAGTTGATATAATGTTGTCATAGCAGCTATTGATTTCTTGTTCGAAGACATGATCAAAACTGCATCCATTCATGTGTTCACCCGAGAAGAATGATTTGTACAAGATGTTTTCTTTCTGAGTTCTGTCAGAGTGGAGGATACCACCATCCATAAGATTTCCCATGTACTCGTTAGGCTTATTGGTCAATGTCTTCTTATAATTTTTCCAGAATATTTGAGACTGAGCAACATTGAGATTTTCCAGTTGCTGATGAATCCATTTGTTTTTTTCGGATATCAAGGTATTAGAAAACTCCTCCTTTGCTTGTTTGTGGAGGGAGATGTTATACGGTGTGTAGCTGGTTTTCATGGTTTCCTGCGCAGCTTGAAGAGTTCGTGAAAGGTCTGTAAGGAGAGAGTTCCAGAAAGGTTTTGAGTGGGTACTGACTTTCTTGAGAGGAATCCATTCATTACCAATCGCAGATAAAATGTTTTTAAAGTCTTGCCACAGCTTTAGAGGGTCTATGTAAGAGTTGATCCTGCCAGTTATGCCAAGGAGAAGGGCCCTGTTAAGTGATCCACACCAAGCATTCCAGTCTGTTTTATCAATGTCCCAGTAGAGAAGAGGAGATGCAGATTGAGCAGTTTGTGCGTGACAGAATTGGTGGATGATTGGTAAGTGACCTCTATTTGGAGCACCTGTGAAGAGTTCACTTTCACTGTCAATGCTGGACGATTGGTATAGCCTACATACTTTACCCTTCAACAAAGCAAGGTCAATGATACTCCCACCATTATGGGAGACGAATGTATTGGTGTTCGGAGTGATGCATGTCAGATTATGCTGAGCGATGAATGAATCCAGCTGTCTTCCACGGTCGGTTGTGATGATATCTCCCCAGGAGATGTGCCTACTGTTGAAGTCACCAATTATTATTACATCTTTGATTTTGAACTTGGAGCAGTATTGGAGAGCTTTCGTGATGTTGGTAAGTGCTGAGCTCAGGTTGTTTGTAGAAGTTAGGGAGTGGTTTACATATACATTACCAATCATTACTACCGTTGAATTGTACCTAACAGTGACCCAGAGTGCATCAGTGGTTGTATCTTGAAGTTCACTGATTTGTTGTGGGACAAGCCTGGGGGAAACACTGGTGGACACTCCTCTGCTATTGTTTACCGAAAATGTATCCAGATTATGAAAGGTATTTAAGTGGGGTCTGGAGTTATCCAGTAGAGTTTCTTGTAGAGCCACAATGTCATTTTTGAACTTAAAGTTGAATCTATCAATTGCTGTAATAGACCTGTTTGATAGCCCACTGACATTTATTTGACAGATATGAAGACTTCCTTTGTTTTTAGTAATCATGGTGGTTACTTTGTTTAATCAGATTCATTTTTTCTATGAAATGTGGGCATTGGTTTGAGAAGGCTGTATGATTTCCTCTGCAGTTGCGGCAGCAGTAATTTGATGGATGGGTTCTCTCCGGGCATTCTTTATCAGTGTGGTTTTCTGAGGAACAGAATCCACATGCTGCTTTGCTGCGGCACCATTTCACAGGGTGTCCAAATCTTTTGCAGCCATGACATTGCATTGGTTTTTTGGTGAACTTGAATTGAGCAACTTCTAGCCATAAGTGTTCAAGACCGAATCCCTTGCTTATTGCTTGTGTAAGATCCTCATGTGACTTAAAGATGACTTTAACAGAGTTTGATGATTTGCCCAAGCGAGTTACGTGAGTGCTATTCAAATTGGCATTATTAAGTCCATCAGAGATAGAGCCCATATCAATGTTTATGGGGACATGCCTTATGATGCCTACATGCTTTGTCAGATGCTGGTCAGTCATTCTGAATATCGCTGTGCCCATTTTTGCGCTGGTGTCTTTAAAATAGTGGGATTGCCATCCATTTAGTACTTGTTTGATATCATCCTCAGAGTTTAGTTGAAGAATGATGTTGCCATATCTTGTCTTTTTAATGTACTTTATCTTCATTTGCTTAAACAGTTTGTTAAACTCTGATTTAAGTGAGGTATCATTTGACACCACCTTTTTGTTTGTGACTTGCTTTATGATAACAGACATCTTGGGATCAACTAAATAGTCGGTTCTCACTGCACTAGCTGATTTTTTTGTAGACTCTTTGACCACTGGGGGTTCTATGAAAGTGTTGGTGCTCAAATGAGAGTGAGGTGGTCTTGCCTTTTCAGAATATGATGCAGGTGGTTTGTATACATTTTCTGCAGACATTGTAAAGGGCTTGCTCTGAGCTGGATTATGGGATAGTGTTATGGCGGAGATTAACGTTTTTACTTCTTCTTTTAGTGCAGCTCTTAGTTCCATTGTGATGGAGTCTTTGAGTTGCTGAATATTGGTAATCTCATGTTCTGATTGCTGTGACTTCGTATCTTGGTAGTCAGGGAGTGAAAATTGGGAGATATCAAAATCTCCTTCAAGGGAACTTGAGGTAGTATCATTCACCAGTTTAACTTTTTTCTCAGCAGCATCTATGAATTTCTCCTGAGTATGTAGAGATATCTTTTCCAGGATATCATCAAAGGAAATAGAGTTGCAGCCATTGCAAAACCATTTGTTGTTCTGGGAGATTCCAAGTGCTGTGAAATTTGTGTGGCTCAGGGTACGCATCTTTTGTTTGTGAGCTGTTACTTGTTTCACCTTGTAACAGGTGTAATGAACTGAAAGTTTGCATAGATAGCATGTAAGAAGCTGATCAGCGCTAACATCTTGGTTACAGATTGTACATGAGCCACCAGTATCATTGATACCCTCCTCAGCTCTAGATTCAATTCTGTAGTCAAAATTGTTGTTAAATGTTATGTTGGGAGGTGTGAATGCATCCCCATCTTCTTGATCCGTCTCGTTGATGTCAGGTGTACTGCCTTCAAGTACAAGTGAGCTAGATGATGTTGATGATAGAGTGCCCCTTTCACTTGATTCCATCCTGTATCTTTGTGGAGGTTCTTTCGATTCTGGTTCAACAGAGTTATTTTTGCCAGACTCTAGCATATCATGCTTAGGTGTTAAGCTTTGAGTCTTAGCAGATTCAACTTTTTCAGTGACGAAGCTAGTTGTAAGTTTAGTTTTGTAGGTGTAGTCCTCCTTTGGGAAGGAGCTAGTGGACAAACAGATCAAAGGTTCTCTAAAGGTAAAACCAAATAGTGCCACCTTATCCTCAGCACCGTGACTGCTACGAAAGGATTGCTTTCCATATAATCTGCGTCTTAGATCCTGATCAGTATCTTGATTATTAGGAGTGATACCATGGTCAGAAAGGACACTTAACATCTGTGGTCTGATCAGTTCTATCCACTCCAGTTCAGCAATTTCGTTGCTTTGAGGGTCTTTGAAGTAAGTTAGCTGAGAAAGTAGTTTGACCCTTTCAGCAGGAGAGAGATATGTTGCATCAGACTTCAGTTCTGCTGGTAGTAACAATTTATAGGTATTCTCATCGAAAGATAAAAGGGTACATAACATTTGCCCACTGGCATTAAAGCAGCAGATAGTGTCAGAGGTTATTTCAGAATCCGAAGAACCAGAGCCACTAAGATTTTTAGCAGCTCCTAAAATACCTGTGACACTTTCAGTACAAGATGCACCACTTCCAGTACTATCTGCCTCCATTGCAAAGTAACTTTGGACAGCTTTCAGCAGGTTGGTGTCTAGTTGTCGTAGCATTCCAGCAGCAACTATTGTTGGGGTCTTAGCTTTTTTCTGGGGGGTAGAGGAAGTGTTAGCATTATTGACGTTTTGTTTTGGGATTGTTTCAACCATGATGAAGTTATTTAGGTATGTAGTACCAAAAACGAAGGCTGGAACACGTCTGGAACAGGTTTGTTTCTATCAAAAAATCAAACTTAATCACCAACCGGAAAGGTTCAGAACTTGTGGGTCTGACTCCCTTAATAGATTTGTGAAGAGGGGAAGGAGAAGCAGGACTTCTCGGGTCTGGAGAGGAGAAGCAGGACTTCTCGGGTCTGTGCTATGTCACTATGTCACTTGTCACGTTATCGTTCAACATTACACATACCTCAAATTATTTGTTATATAGTAGTGTTGAAAGTATTAAAATCTCTAAAAAAGCATGTTTCTAGAGTAAAACGTGCAATTTTGCTAGTACCTCCGTTAAGTTTTTCAAAATTGTCCCACATTCAAACGACGATTTTGCGCCCCCCTAAGATGCACCCCCCCCCCCCCCCCCCCGCACAGCAGGGTCAGCGGGGCCCTTCGTTACGCCACTGACAGGTGCTAATTTTTTTACTAAGGCGCTTAATAATTGTCTCTTTGTAGATGAAGACACACTATCCAAGATCATGATTGTACTGTGTTGGTGTACAATCATTGTACATGATAAAGAGCTCTTCCTTACAATGTTTCACATCACTGATGATATTTTGCTGCTGTTCTTCTTTAAGTTGGAAAATAGTATACCGATAAAATACTGCCTCTGCTGTCAACTGTTATTTTAATAATATTGACAGAGTTGAAGTTCTCCATCTCTGCTGTAGTATCAAGTATGGAATGCTTGGACCGCCCATTCTAGCAGGAAGTGAATCTATCTCCCTTATTTTTTAAGAGAAATTGGATTGGGACATGATTTTAAGCTCTTGGTTTCTCAAAAGTTTAGTCATTCATGCCAATAATGTCTTCAGATGACACACCAGAGATATAACCATTTTATTTTTAAAGATGTATTTCTTTTTAGATATTTCAAAATTATCTCTTTCTAATATGAACATATCTTTATGACAAAAGATTATAAACCGGAATAAAACTCGAGACTGAGAATTTAGATTCTTTAGAACACAAAATTAGTTATTTTTACATGGTACCATGCATTTCTTTCTTTGATTTTTTGATCATGTCGAAGAAATGCCCAGCAGTGATATTTTATAATTTGTCAAATTTCCAAGGTACTTTGTATGACTGTGAGACAATGGTGGGCTGACATCAGTACAAAAAAAGCGTAAGTCATATGTTATCTACAAGATATGTTTTGAAATATGCTATAGTGACGTAACATATATAATGCAAAGAATTAGTAACTTGCTAGATGTGATTTAAGTGCAATTGTAAATTGCAAAATGTTAACGTCGATTATTACTAACATTTATCTGAATTTAATACAAGTACATGACACATATAAATTGGGTAGCTGAATGAAACTCGTGCCTCAGAATTTTCCGTTATTAGCATTGCAGTGTCCACGCCCTGTACTGCGTTAACGACCGAAATTTCCCAATATGCAATAATTATTTTGCTTCTAAAATTCTCTGATAATTAATAATAATAATATATCGTGACATGTAATTGTAAGATAACAAACCTCGCGCGCGCGGCGCTTACATATGCACCTGAGAATCTCTCAGCAATGTATGGCTGTCTGCGCGGCGGTCTGTGTATTGTGTATATAGCTGAATTTAAATTTAAATTTATTTATAAATGTATAATAATATTAAATATGTATTGATTGTTTTGTGGTAAATAAAAATTTTGTTTTTACTAAAAAAATAAGATATTCAGTTGAAACTTGCAATTACAACAAACATTATCATTAGAAATGAAAAATTAACTTACATTCTCCAAGATTGTTTTTAATAGCAAAGAGTTAACACAATTGAACCAACAGATGGGATACGACTTGGGCAGATTTGAGGGTGATATTGATGAGGAGCTGATCTGCTGCATCTGTCGGGAAGTGTTAAGAGATCCAGTACAGGCAGCTGAATGTGAGCATGCCTTTTGTATTGAGTGCATTCAGGGATGGCTGAACGAGCACCAAACCTGTCCGGTTGATAGAACAGCTCTTACTCAGTCTGACCTCAAACCACCATCTCGGATATTAAGAAACATACACAAGAAGCTCATCATCAAATGTGACAATGTGGATTTTGGCTGCTCTACTTCCATAAAACTAGAATTACTCCACAACCATTTGAATGATTGTCCATATAACCCAAAACGACCGGTAGGTTTAGAATTGTAAAATTGCACTTACTCTAGTTTGATTCTAGTTAGTCAAGAAAGTAGAGGAGGTTTTATGAAACAAATTTCTGTGATTCACCATGCCAAGACAGCCCTGCGCCCCATTAATTAGCAACATACCCAACATAATATAATTTAAAGCAAGCATGGTTTTGATTTGATGAGAATAATGTGACCTCCAGGTAGCCTGCAGTCAAGGATGTGGAATGGAAGTTCCGTTAGATGAAATGCAAAACCACAATTGTATTCAGCAGCTTCGTAACACTTTGATGGCCCACATATACACTTTGGAAAGTAAGCTGAGTGCTTGTGAGGCGGAGATAGAGCGTCTGAGAGAAGCTAGAAATCAGACACCAATAACTGGGGACAGTCAGGCTGGACCGAGTAGTGCGCGGGAGAGTGGTGCTAAACCTCACAATCTCAGCGATGAGGAGATCAGGTCAGCTTGAAGCTGCATTTTTTGGTAAACCCTTAAACCGTTAGTTTCATTAACAATTAAGTTATATTCATACTATTTAAGAAGTTAATTAACACCCATCACATGAGCTAGTACATAAAGATAAGAACTAATTTTTTGACGCCCAATGCAACTAGAATTGCTATTTGTGTCAGACAAACCGACATGATTCTTTGTCGTGGTCTGATTAACTTTGTATCTGTCATTGATCTGATCACGTGTTAGATGGTGTCAGAGTCTAGACGAAGGGAGAGTTAGGAGATGGGGAGGTATGATAAGTACTCCTGATAACGTATTGCAGGGTCACATTCGCAGATCACTTCAGGTACTTCTTACTTTCAATAGGCTTTTTAAGCAGACCAGTTGTTGATTGAATGGTCATTCATTCTGTGGGCAACCACAGCACTCAATATAATTCATTAAAGTGCAAGTCTATAAATATTTCCTTTTCTTAAAATCGATAAGAAACAATCTCCAGGACTCAGGCTGCCCTGCTAGATTACTCAATGAGCTGATGAATTATTCCCACGAAAGGAAGTGGCCCGGAGGTCTCAATAGTCTCGAGATGAGACAGGTAATATTTCATTAACAGGAACATTGAATTGAACGTAATAAGTTTTTGCCAAGGGGCTAGGTGGTTAGAGCATCTGTCTTATGAGCAGAAGGTTCAGGGTTTGAATCCAAGCAAGAATTTTAGGAGCAATGTTCAGCCCTCAATTATGAGATGCAGGGAATTAGCTCATATTGTCCATAACTGACCACACTAACTATCAAGTCATTCTTTTCTCAAGACCTGTGAGAAATAGCAATGCTTTGTCAATGTAACCTGTTGTTTGTTCAGGTGAACAGAGTTTGCTACGAGCAGTACGTAACAAGGCGAGTCCCCGGAAGACAAGCAGTAGTAGTATTGTATCTGGAGAATCAGCACATGGACTCCCCCTTCATACGCAATCCAGGCATGGTCCTCATCTTCGCTCACGGCATCGACTAAACTCTCCTCTTTTCATGACAAATTATTTAGCACTGTGAGACAAGTTTACTATAAATGTTGCTGTAATTTTATCAGAGTTCGTCTGGTTAATACAGTCGGTTGGATTTCAGTGGAGATAAGATCTTATGTTTATCTTCTTTAAAGAAAAGTGACTGTGTGCTTTATGTATAGTTGTATGTCTTGGAACAGTTCTATGAAGAAAAAAAAGGTGATGTCCGGGTGTTCTTGAGCTTGTTTATTGAAAATGTGGTGGTGAAAAATATGCATATGATTGATTGAAATTGACTGAAGTAACCTCCACATGAAATGTTTGTAATGTTGGCGACAATTGGGAAACCATTGGGACATCGTATTCAAGTAATACAATCTGTATACTGTTGCCATCATAAAATATAACAATTTACTTTTGACCACATTGTCTGTTTGGAACTGTACAAGTCCAGCTGTGTACTTACTTATTTCTCAATCTTGTCTCAGCCGACTTGTTCAAAAGATTTTGGACTGGTATATTAGCTAGGTACTTTAGAAACTTGTTTGTTTATTACAAATTCAAAACGGAAATTATTGATCAGTAAAATAGCCCATATTGTACTAATTTTTAGTATACATAACATTGCTCTCAAGTCCCAAATTATTTATGTCTGAATAAATAGTATTCAATGAATTGGTTTAAATACATTAACCAACCAATAATTTTAATTGATCTCTCCATTGTATAATATTTTAAATTCTAGATAGTTGATAAGTTTAAAGAATTTGTTAACATTTATTTTTGATCACACAGGATGGAATGGTTTCAGGGCTCCATAGAACAGGCTATAAAGCAAGTCAGGGAAGCAAGTTCTCTCTTGTGCGTTTTTATCAAAGGTACTTACTAATATTTGATAAATATGAATAATTATTAATTACATATCGATCAGTTGACCAATAAATATCATGGATTCGAGTTAAATTAGCAATTTACCAATTTACATTTCAACTTATAAATTTACATGAATTGTACAAAATTTCAACAGATGATAAAGAAGCCAGTACTGAGATGACGGATGCTATCTCAGCAGTCTCCCACGTGTTCCAAGGTCACACTTCTATACAGCTAGTGTATGACACGTGAGTAAATCTTATTATGATTATGAGTGCCAGTGTGTCAGGCACTAAGGGATAATTAATGCGGGGATTAGTTAGCTCTGTAATAAATAGTTGCTAACCTAGGATGCCATGAGGAGGGGGAGGGGGGGGCCGGGGGGGGGGGGGCTATCCTACATTTAGTCCTTATTCTCCGTCCTGTCCGAATGGTCAGCATCATTTCTCTCTTCTCTCAAGTCAGCCACTCTTGAAACTTGTCCGGAATGTGACTGGTACTTTCCCCAATACATCCTAGCATTCCATTGCTGATTGTTGCTCGGTTGTTGCCCTGAACTTGATTGGTTCGACGAATTCTCAAAACCTGAATGATGTTCGGAATTTGCGTGGTTATTTCCCTGCACGTGGCCAGGAATCTGATGATTGCTTCCAGGCTGATGTCCTGAACTATTTGAGTTGGTTGGCAACATGCCAGAAGTAGACTGGTTACTATGGTACTGAGAGTGAGGTGTAATAGTGAGCACTTCCTTCTCCTCGTCAGTACTCTCTTCCTCGTATACCGTGTGCCACATTGAGTAGGACGTGTAAACCATCAGAGATATCCCCAAAAACACCGCTTCAGTCTGCCGAGAGATCATGTGACTCACAGAGATCATTTGTCAAATTATTACAATAAAGTACATGGTCAGCTTAATTTATGTTAATTTGCCATTTTAGGTAAATAAATGTACTTTACCTCCCAAAAGAAAGCAGGCGATTCCTGGAAGATAACAAAAGCTGTTAGATAGATAGATACCATAGGTAGCCAAGGTACCTGTAACGGTTAGGGGTAATTTACAATTTAGTAGATTGCAAATCTTACGAGATTAGAAATATAAACTTTGTCTATCGTAATCCTATATTTTTGTATTTTATCATTATTTAGTATTACTGAGTTGACCTAGATTAACAAATAAAAGAGTGTCTCTAACTGACCCAAGGTGTTAAGTACTCGCAGTCTTTAGGGTTCTGAGGGAGGAGAGACAAAGCAAATACCTGAAGGAGCATGAGAATGATAAAAGATAGACAGAGACACACATACCCTGTCTCTCCCAGCCACGAGTGTATTAGCTTTTCAACATAGTTAACACTCAATATCAGGCCTGATAACCACACTAATGACAAGCCAATACACCACTTTGCTTTTATCTCCGACTGAAGTGACACTGGGTATTTGACACAACACTCTCTCGGCTTTGCCTCATCTCCTTCTTGCCCGTCTTCTTGCCCCTCTTCTTGACTCCCCGTAGTAGTCTCTGGTTGAAGTGAAGCTGTAGGTGATTCAAGTTCTGGTTTGAAGCTGTATCTGAGAATGAGAATGCCGAGATTGGCCATTATACAGTTGAACATGTACCCAGTCTCTGCTAGTCTGATCAGGTAGGTCGGGTCGAAAAAGAGAGGGATGATTGCTCCAGCAAAGCCACACCACATCACCGAGTTGAAGGGAATCTGTTCGAAGTGAGACGTTATTGTAAGGAATAATCTTCTAATTAGAAAATGAGCTAACACTATGGATAGAAAACACTTTTGGTTTTGGGTTTATGTCATTTACCTTGCTCCTCTGTTGAAGAAGACCAAAACAAGGTAATATGACTCCATCTTTACCCATACAGAACGCTAGCCGGGAGGCAGCTTGCAATACACACATAGCTGTTGAGAATAGAGCTGCTATTGAGCCTGCAGATGTTTCAATGTTATCTTAACTGAAGAATAAATTTAAGGAATCCTTACTTGGAAAATAATATTTGGATTGAAAATATTGGACACAATAAAAGAGAGCTGTGTTATCCTACCTATCCCACCTATCCTATCTGTGTTATCCTACCTATTTCAACTGAGTACTTCATCCAATCAACACCGATGTCGATGAAGACATTAGCCATAGCAAAGTTGGTTTTAACAGAGTCGTAGGGGACCAGTAAGCTGACCACAGTGCTCACAGAGATGTAGATACACAGAACGAAAAAGAAACTGGAGTGAGCAGCTTTACCTACATCCTGTACTGGGTTTATAGCCTCGTCTGATACGCAGGGTAATTCAACAAATCCTGGGGGATACAGTGGAGAAACATTAATAAAATTATAATACTGTAAACTGTTGGGGTCATCTATTGTTTATGTGGCCTATTTGCCTATTTGCTCATTTGGTTAAATGTGAAAGTGTTACCTAGGTAAGTAGAGAGGATGACAGTAGCTCCTCTAAAGATTGAAGTGTAACCGTACGGTACAAACCCTCCCTCCACACTGAACCAATTATCAAAGTCAATGTAGAAGGCCCCTACAAACACAATTAGCAGGACCATGAAGAAGGACACGTAGTTTGCACAACTTCCTATCAAGTTGTTGTATTTTGATTTTGTTGTCAGTATTGCTGATATCAGTACGATAATAAGTGAGGCGAAGAAGCGCGGGTACGCAGCAAACACCACTGAGCTGTCCTCTGAGTACGCAAACTCCCGCTCCTCAAAATCTTCTAAACTCCTGAAATTACAGTATAAATTAGGAAAATTAATTGCCATCATCGTAGGAACAGTTTCCAGTTGTGTTTTTATCAGGTCCAATGGATCCAATGAAAAGTAATCATTTTCTTATTTAATTTATTAATCCTATATAATATTAATAACACGGCTCTGAGCACATACCTCTTAAATATGAAATAGTCGATATGTTCAGATAGAGAAATGCACATATCAGCTGCAATAATAAGATGATGGAACAGCAGACTGATCCCCATAACACTCGCCACAAACTCCCCGAATATGGCGTAGTTGTAAACGTACGTCCCACCACAGTATGGGTATCGTGAGGAGAGTTCTGCAAAGCTGAATACGCAAGTGTATACAATGGCACCCCCTACTATGTAGGATAGCACTGTGCTGGGACCGGCTATGTACCTGTGGGGGTTAGAGATGTTAGAATCTTGGTAGAAATTTAAGGTGGGAAATGTAAAGTTGTTTAATTGTTCAGAAAAAGATCTGAGGAGATTGTAAGATATATTCAGATAAGAACTGTTGGGATTATAAGATAAAACAGAAATTAAGTAGGAAGATAATAGATGTGGATACTGGTGGGGAGGTGAAACACATTTGTTTACTTTAATAGTAAGCACATGTTCAGCGGGTTGAGGAGGTGAAACACATTTGTTTACATTTTTAGGGTAAGCACATGTTCAGCGGGTTGAAGAGATGATACACATTTTGTATTATAGAAGGCTTGTAACACTTGTAACGCTTTCTTGTTACCCCCCTTTGAAGGCCCCGAATTATTTTCTGAACGAAAGCTCAAAAATAACCGAGAAATCGACCTTCTTATTAACTCATTTTGATGACTGTTTCTGACCTAAAATTGCACGAAAAATCGATTTAGCTAGGTTTCAGAACCTATAAACACTTCCTTATCCCTCAAAATTGATGTTTTATAGTTGATACGAGCAACAAGCAACATATGTTTTGATCCTTCGGTTCTACTCATGACCTAGGCAGTTAAGCTGAACCCGACAGATCGAGGGCCGAGGCAATCCTCACCTTAACTGATCAAACTGGTACTAACACAATTTTCAGATATAAATGTTCTTTGCGATACGTTTATTGCAGCTTTGCAACTTGAGTGAAGACCAGAGTACGAAAACACACAGCAGGTAAGCAACTCACTTTTGGTGACTGTTCCTCACGAACATTCTGATCCTGCAACATATGAACAGCTAGGGAGATCGTCTCCTTAACAAATCGGACAGGTACTATCACAATTTCCAGAGCACAGCATGATAACAAAGTCAAAAGAAACACAACGAAGGTAGGTTACCAACACCACAATATAACAAATACAATTATACTAACAACTGAATTAAATTCATTCTGACGACGGGCAGCCCTGATGTGCTCCGTCATCCTCAACGAGCGACCACTTGTAATAGAGGTGTTATGTCATGTGACACCGATCCGTCCAATCACAAACAGAACGAGTCAGCAGATCGATATCGTGTGTTTACTTTCCTTATCTTTATTTGACCCTCTGTTCACATTGTTATCTCTACCACATCTTGGCTCGGCAAGGTCCGCGTGCAATATCTGCACCGCGGTAAACACGCCATGATTACGTCATGAACTTAAAATAGTGTGATTGTTGTACTTATATAACCGTGCCCATTGCCCACGTACAATACAAACTGTTGGGGGGGGGGGTTTAGACTAAGATAAACAACCGATCTTGATAGTGTGTTGGTCGCTCCTCCAACTGATTGTGATGCTAACTGTTCAATCAGGAACGGAACAATAACATTGTTTAGTTATAGCATGTTTCGGTTTAGTTGTCCAATTGCGTATTCAGCATATTACGTGTTGAAACGTCACGTAACAGTTGAGTGTAGAGTGATGAATCAACGTCCGGTTAGTCAGCGGGGATGTGGGGCAAGACTCAGTTCACGCCGGAAGAAGTAGCAGCCAGCAGAAAAGTCAGCATCGCCCGCATCCACGTGGAACGCTCAATTGGCTATCTGAAGCGGTACAAGATTTTGGGAAACAAAGTTGTGGCGAAGATGTTGCCTTATCTGAGCGACATCGCATTCGTGTGTGCCCAACTTGTTAATTTGAACCCTGTTTTTTTGAGGGAAGTGGACAGTGATTTTTTTAAATGACCAGGTCTGCTTAAAAAACTAAAAAATTATGTTAATATTCTGTTCATGACTGGACGATAAGTTCCTACAATCCCCCCCCAACAGTTTGTATTGTACGTGGGCAATGGGCACGGTTATATAAGTACAACAATCACACTATTTCAAGTTCATGACGTAATCATGGCGTGTTTACCTGCGGTGCAGATATTGCACGTGGACCTTGCCGAGCCGAGATGTGGTAGAGATAACAATGTGAACAGAGGGTCAAATAAAGATAAGGAAAGTAAACACACGGTATCGATCTGCTGACTCGTCCTGTTTGTGATTGGACGGATCGGTGTCACATGACATAACACCTCTATTACAAGTGGTCGCTCGTTGAGGATGACGGAGCACATCAGGGCTGCCCGTCGTCAGAATAAATTTAATTCAGTTGTTAGTATAATTGTTATATTGTGGTGTTGGTAACCTACCTTCGTTGTGTTTCTTTTGACTTTGTTATCATGCTGTGCTCTGGAAATTGTGATAGTACCTGTCCGATTTGTTAAGGAGACGATCTCCCTAGCTGTTCATATGTTGCAGGATCAGAATGTTCGTGAGGAACAGTCACCAAAAGTGAGTTGCTTACCTGCTGTGTGTTTTCGAACTCTGGTCTTCACTCAAGTTGCAAAGCTGCAATAAACAATGAAACAAGAAATTTTTTATGCTCTGGAAATTGTGAAAATTACGCTCTGGAAATTGTGATAGTACCTGCTCTGGAAATTGTGATAGTACCTGTTCGATTTGTTAAGGAGACGATCTCCCTGTTCATATGTTTGTTATATATGGTAAATTATTATGTAACTTATTTATGTATATTATTCCTTAGTCTCGTATGACCATAGTTGGTACTACAATAAGTGGGTTTCACTTCTAAGCTACCGTATACTAAATTGTTACAGGATCAGAATGTTCGTGAGGAACAGTCACCAAAAGTGAGTTGCTTACCTGCTGTGTGTTTTCGTACTCTGGTCTTCACTCAAGTTGCAAAGCTGCAATAAACGTATCGCAAAGAACATTTATATCTGAAAATTGTGTTAGTACCAGTTTGATCAGTTAAGGTGAGGATTACCTCGGCCCTCGATCTGTCGGGTTCAGCTTAACTGCCTAGGTCATGAGTAGAACCAAAGGATCAAAACATATGTTGCTTGTTGCTCGTATCAACTATAAAACATCAATTTTGAGGGATAAGGAAGTGTTTATAGGTTCTGAAACCTAGCTAAATCGATTTTTCGTGCAATTTTAGGTCAGAAACAGTCATCAAAATGAGTTAATAAGAAGGTCGATTTCTCGGTTATTTTTGAGCTTTCGTTCAGAAAATAATTCGGGGCCTTCAAAGGGGGGTAACAAGAAAGCGTTACAAGTGTTACAAGCCTTCTATAATACAAAATGTGTATCATCTCTTCAACCCGCTGAACATGTGCTTACCCTAAAAATGTAAACAAATGTGTTTCACCTCCTCAACCCGCTGAACATGTGCTTACTATTAAAGTAAACAAATGTGTTTCACCTCCCCACCAGTATCCACATCTATAATATACTTGATGATGATAGGGAGGTACATGAAGACTCCCGCTCCCATCATGATACCAGTCCCCCAACTACAACAATCCAGGAATTCATACACCTGCTCAAACACTGGCCTATCATAACTTAGGAATGTAGGTTTTCGGACCCTCGTCAGATGGCCCCACAGCCGCCCAATACATCCTGACATAACACGCTGTTGGAAGGGTGGCAATAATTTATATTTCTGATTATATAAAGATATGTCAGCTTTATGCTACTAAAATTTGAGGAGCTCTGAGAGAATATCCATGTTAATCCGGTGTTTTATTTTCAGGGCAACGTGCAAGCAGTTCTCGGTGTACTATCCTATCTTAATAGTTCCCTCAATTTATATTGTGGACGGCAGTGGAGTCAACCTTGCAGTTATCGCTGACAAGAACAAGATTGTCAACATCCTTAGTGAAGTTACTCAAGTAAGAATTAATTTACAGCTGCCAATAAGCTGATTTAACAGTCCTACATAATAAATGTAGAGTAAAACATGCGAGCAATGTTACAAGAACAAGAGGCAAATATACAATAGGCATTAGGCTTGTAGTTGGAAGTTGAACATGTAAGCGTATTTCACAAATCATTTTGGGTATTGATAATTATGCGTTTTAGTGATCTAAAATTGGACCACTTCAATTTCTTTCAAGGCTATTCTTTGGTGAGTCACTTATTGCGGACTAATACTATAAAACGAATGAGCTTCCTTAAATAGATCACATGAAAATATGAAAATGTGCCCCCGTTTTCGGGGTAGTGTTTGTAACGCGCAGCGACAATTTTATTGAGAGGGATGAAGCCCTCATGGTTGTAATTGCGCGGCGTATCTAGCTAGCTAGCTGCTGCGCGCATATTTTCAGTAAACTGTGTCGATAAAAAACGTGTACCTAGTCACGTCACCAAACACTGCACTAATTCCTTAATGATGACTTAATGCCTTAATAATAAGGCGGCTTCATAGTCTGGGTTTCAGTTTAGGCTTGCTACACTGTCCTTCACAAGCTCACCATATCTTCCTTAATTAATGTTAAATAATTATCGCCTATTGGAAAGTTATACATTTCATTTCGTTTCAGAGCAGATCTCTTCAACCAGCTCCAGCAGTCGCCCCACAAGCCGCCCCCTCAGTGGTACCTACAACAACACCACAGACCTCCCCAGCCGATCACGACATCTCCACCACTGTTACTCCTGAATCTATCGGAGCTTTGATCGATAGGTTAGGAAGTTAAATTATGAGACTTGTTTGATGCAACAATCTCATGTCGCAAAATTTGTACCATTATTAAACCAAACCCTGAATTGCTTCATTTCTTGACAACCAAAATTATGTGTTCCGTTTTATCCTGAATATTTCGCAGGAGTAGTGGTAATGTCCCCACTGTGGTTAATGGTAGTGTTCCTAGTACCTCCAGCGGGATCACTGATGCTCAGAAGTCTCTCGAAGAACAAAAAGAGAGGTACTGACAATCTTCCTTTGATTCAAGAGTTGGCGGTATGATTTCTCTGAAGATTTATTTTTTCATAATATCGACTGTTAAGCATGATAAAGAGCACGTCATAACACGAAGTCTTTTTCCGATTCAGGGCTCGTCAGATATTAGAAGAGAAGCAAATGAAGGACCAAGCTGCTGCTGCAGAAGTTAGTAAAAGGAATTATTTTGTTTCCGGAACCACGTACACATTTCATTACGTAAAACCATATTTTTTCTAAAATCCACAAAAATTAAATTTTGAGAGGAATGTATCATTTCACAGGAGTTGAAGGAAAAAGAACGAAAACGAAGATTGGAGGGTCAGGCGATCGCCGAACAGAAGAAAAGAAAGGAATCCGAAGAAATGAAGCGACATTCCGAGTCTATCAGACGAGATAAGGCTTCGCAAAAAGCTGAAATGGAGGAGATTCGGTAAATTGTCTTCTTATATGATTGTGCTTTAGGTCTCCTAGATTGAGGTCAGTACTTGATTTATTGGTAATAGTTTAAATAGCAGAATTGTAACTGGTTGTTATTACAGAGCACAAATTGCACGTGACAAAGCCGAGAGGAGGGGAGAGAAGTACACGCCTCCTGTTGCAGCGCCCTCAACTGCTCCTTCAACTCCCTCCCTCCCGTTAGTACTCGCCTCTTTTCCACATTTGTCCATTTCCTTTCCATATTGTTTGGCTTACGTAATATGCGAAAGATCCCTAGCTTAAAACAGAAAAGGTTTTAAACTGACGTAATTATTTGTACATTATTCCAGGGAAGGTAAGGTCAGGGTACAGATCAAATTCCCAGCAACTGACAGCACTTTGGCAAAGACATTTGATGAAACTGATTCTCTCGTAACTGTTGTTGAATATGCAAAAGAGGTATATTATCATCAAACACCCGTAGTTATTCAGATTGATAGGTTATTATTTGAAATCAGGAGACAGGAGTTATCTCCCTGGTTGAACTTGTTTTATAATCCCCAAATCTCATATTATAAATTTCAGCAACTTAAAAAGGACAACTTTACTCTCTGGAACACCTTCCCACGGAAACAGTTCAAATCAGCAGACCTCAACCAAAGTCTAGAGAGTCTGGGACTGAAAGGGAGCGTTTCTCTATTGGGAATGAGCGGCAAGGGATACACTCCCGCCCCCACTCCAGTAAGTTAGGGAATATATTTTAAGGGGTGGAAAACGTAATTAGTTACAGATGGGTAGGTAAACAATGTACCACTCTAAACTCTAAAGGAGAACAGACAAGAGTTTGTGCGTCTTAGTAACCTCGCATTTCATCCAGGTACCAGAGGAACAACCCTGCTCTTCCACTGCTGGAAACTTTTCTAGCAACTCCAATGACAAACCCTTGTCCCAAACAAGAATACAGTTTAAGAAATCTGACGGAACTTCTCTGTTACATATATTTGATAAAGATACTCTACTTGTTGATGTTGTCAAACACTTTCAGAATGAATGCGAAGGTATAAAATTAGTAGAGATTTGTACGCATTTTAGAAACTATTTTATACAGATACTAGAAAACCCGTGGTCACAGGGAGGAACCTAATAGTATTCTTTGGAAGTCAGTTTTAATCGTGTCAAAAAGTATTCATTCCCACCGAAGATACAGCCAAATAAAATGTAGCTCGCACTGAACACAACGTAATTACCACAAAACCGATCAAAATGACGTTAAAACAATCCTCGTTACTATGGTTATTATGCAACTACCTATTTCTTATCTATTTGCACGTGGGCGGTCGTACAGTGTACGTACAAAAATAATTCTCTGAATTATAAGTAAGATTGTTCGATATTTGAAAATATTAACTCAACTAAAGATTCAAATCACACGTGATTCCATTGGGTGCAACTGTTAAATAATACTGTGGAATTCAAATAATATGACAATAACTCCTTAGATTTGGGTGATAGTGTATTGTGGAGCTTGTATCCTAGATACGAGATAACACACGACCACGTGCAGCAAACCCTCGCGCAACTCAACATGTGCCCTTCTGCAGTGATATTCGTGCTACCACCTAGCAACCAAACATCTACTAACCAGGTTACTGAGTCTTCTCTTCCCCACCTTAGATATTTAAACTAACCTCAACCTATTCAAATAGATGACGACCCCCTCCCACCTCCCTCCCTCCTCTCATAACTTCATGATCAGGTGGGGACAGGTAGTACCGGAATGTTCTACGAGCTACTTTTGACCCTGATACAGCTGCCGATCAACATTCTGCAGTATTTAAAGAACATCCTGTTTCCAGCCAGACCCTCAGCACGGCCCCGGCCCCCTCCCCTCACCCCCACACCGTCAGAGACTGACGGGGGCTCCGGGGGCTCCACCCCTCTCGACACTAATTCTTTGCCAGACAGGTGCGTTTAGAAAACGAATCGTAATGGTGTAATTTTATTCAAGGTCCACATTTTCTAAGGGTTCGTATCTTATGACATATCGGCGATAACTAATATTATTATTAAAACACCTATATGGGGTAAATTGTTCTCTCTGAACATGCTGGACGCCTAATTTTTTAGAGACGGTAGATTATTAAATGTTGCATCTGATCTGAAAAAATGAGGCAAAACGAATTAGAAATGACGAAGTTATCAAGCATTTTGTGTATCTCGTTAACAAAATTGATTGGATGACTACTGATTATGTGACACCGTGACACAACACCTTAATTGGGCAGCCTTAACGATTCCCGTAATGTTTAACGGGGTGGTTAACGGGGTCACCTAATCACGTGATTAGGTAAACCAATCACCTGATCACACGTAATGAATAAACTCGTTAATGCTTCGTATCCGGTCGCCTGAGAAGCTACAACTCTAATTTTTTCAGGACAAACGTAATTCCAATGGCCAAATACAATTCAATAAAATTTAGCTCGATCCGACTATCCAAACTATGCAAAAATGAACCTTCATTTGAAAAAAATGAACGCGAATATTTTTCGATTTGACAAGTTCCTCGAACCAGTGGTCATACCGGAAAGAATTATTTCAATTGGATACTCATTACTCAGTGACTGAGCTATTAAGGCCAACGTTTGCACACTGACTTTTGGCCCACCCTGTATAAAATAATATTATTAGGTAATATTAAGTAAAATATTATTAGGTATTACAAAATTGAAGTTGGTTTATTTGAAACCCAGATGTAGATTATAATTAACATGTTTGAGTTATTTCCGATAAGATACGAACTATTAATTATATCAATATTTTCCACAGTAATTCTGATGGACTAAGAAAGCGAACTAAACTTGACGGAAATGTGACCAGACTAAGTAATAATAGTGCAAACGGTGAGGACGATACCAACACGTGGAATGGCAACAGTACGCAGCTCCAATAACGTAACTACGGAAACAGTACGCAGCTCCAGTAACGTAACTATGGCAACAGTACGCAACTCCAGATGTGTTTACTACCTAGTACCTATGTAGTGACTGGAATGTAAACGTGGTTTAAAAATGTGTAGATAAGGGTATACTATCGCATAATTAATATTAAATAATTATATAACATACTTATGTGAAATGTTCTTGAAATAAATTTACTTGGGACTTGATATCTTTTGGGTCTTTGTTTCAGAATTAAAAGTCACGTTTTAGTTTAGCCTTCTTAAAAAATAAAGTAACTTTATTTTCATAGTACTGTTAATGTTTATCAGATTTCAGTTTCAATTACAGTCAGTCAATTTTAAGTTGCTGATATTTCAGTTATACAGTTTTCGTTTAGTATTAAGAACTCAACTTTGAACACTTTGTTATGAAGACTATTTGTCCACAAAAATATAAATTTCCATAATAAATGAATTCTAATTTGTTAGCTGTATCCAAAGAGATTTTGCAAAGTAATGACTGTCAGTATATTTTCGGCTCAGATTGGTGTAAAATGTAATTTCAAGGGGGTTCGTAATTTGATCACCTACATTACCCATCTTGAAGTTAAAGTAGGTTTTATCAGGTTTATGAGCAAGCAGAAAGCATTTATGGTTTATCTGTAGAGTTTTCATTGCAATCAGCAAAAGTGGCGAAGTTTTGTGAAGTTGTTAAAATTAAAATTTCGTGTTTTTCCCATCTCAAATAAACTTTGGTAAGGAGTGGTTAGATATTCCGTGTAGTTTACTTGAGTCCGTGCATTTGTAATTAATCTATTTAATGAACTTCAGACTTGATTTATTAATCCAAATTGTTTAGCGTCTCACTCCGAGTTTTCCAGAGAGAATTCATCTTTGTAACAAATCATATTCGAAACTGCAAATCTTGCTGGCATATTCGATTTGATTTATAAAAATGGAATATTCTAGACTTCGAATCACGTTTAATGTAATCATCCCATAGTTTCATGTTATAGAAAACAAATTGATAATAAAATATGTTTAATTGAACTTTTCAACAAGAAAATGTATCTATTCTAACATTTCTAAGAAAATGTCCAAATTAGGACATAGATGACTAAAGATGACCGGGTAGTGTGAGGTATTTATGCTCGATGAGACAGGAGCTGAGGGCGTGTCTGTTCAGATTGTAAAACTACCGTTATCAGTTCGGTTTGATAATCCCAGGTACTTTATTAATACTTACAATTTACTTAATTGTTTTAAAAATTGGTCTGATGCTAAATCGTTTGTGACTTCAATGTGATCTGGGCATTATCCGAGAAGCGCGGACCAGTTTGTGCACCTGGCACCAGTTCGTGCACCAGCTCGTGCACCAGCCCACGGACTACTTATGACATGATGATAAACAGAAACTCTATCCTATTCAATGTTATCATGTTTGGTTATCTGTATTCTGAGCTAATTGTTTTCACGAGCGTCACTGTCTGTCCTCTGCTTATCAGAGAAACGATGTGAAACTTTCACAGCGAGACCGTAACCAGATTAGACACCAGATGGCACTTGGCAGTTGCGTCATGCGTCCTAGGTTACCCCTCACCATGCATCCTAAACTCAGCTATTCTCTCTCTGTTGCGTCATCTGTTCTTGGCTACCCCCTCGCCTTGCGTCATAGGCTACCATCTCGTTCCCCAACTCAGCCATTCTCTCACTTGTGCCTTCCCGTTCTTCTGTTCTCATCTTAATTTGATTTGAATTTCTCATTAATATCATTTCTATTTAGGTCATATTTGTTGTAAAAAAAGTCACCGTAGATTTAAATTAAATATTTTACTTTGTTTTATATTATGTTATGTATGATCTAATTATGTTTATCTTATATTATGTTGTGTATGCTCTAATCATGTTTATCTTATAACTTTAGAATTGTGTACATTGTCATAGATATTTTGCACAGTGTCCCCTAAGCCTCTTATTATAGACCTTCGTTACGTGTCCAGTCTTTCTAAATGTGCTGAAACACTCTGTAACACTGTAACACTCAGTAACACTGTAGAACCGCATTTTAATATACTTTAATATGGTCAGCCTCCCCTCCCCCCACACTCAGTAACACTGAATATTGTATGTTCTCTTACTCCCTGCTGATAAGTTTTATCATATACTTTAAACCAGTATCTTGATACCACTTCTCCTCGTTATCTCACTTCTTGTTCCATTTGCATGGCCTCATTTTGCCGATGTCAGCTGATACCCCTGCTGGTGTATCAAGCATTATCTTATCAACATGAAGACTTGTAATCCAATACTTTTTTGCTTGTCAGCTAATTTAGTTAACAGTTTGCGTCCATTACTTCCTCAAATGCTGCCATTATATCCGGCATTTTAGCTTATAAGCTCCATTCTTGGAAGTAGTTTCTAGGCAAAAACCGTTCAACAAATTCTGGCGATCGTATTTCGTATTTCCCCCTTACCTCTAGTGAATCATGAAATTGTTACTAAGTTAATAGATTCTTGAGTTTCAAGTGTCAAATAGTTGACTGTCTGGCATCCTATTACAAATAAGTTTCTTGAGTACATTTGATACAATTCTCATTGTTACCTTCCGGGTCTTTCTTTTTTCTTCAGAATATCGGTATTATCGGTATAGCAGGATTAACTCCTGTTTTTTAATGATCGCCTATCAGAATCATGATGATTTCTTTGTCTTGTTGTGTGTACGAACTACGAGTATTGCTGATTCCACGACCCTTTTGACATATCTCAACTTTCTCAAGTAACTCTGTAAATCTCAGTGAAGGAGACATGTCTCAAAGCCCCGAAGAAGGGAATTCTGAGGGATCAGAAAGACTTGAAGAAGATGATCAACTGCTATACGTTAGTCCCTATCTTCTTAACCTTTTAGTTACGATTTATCTTAATCTGATTACCAAGACTCAAAAATAATTTGGTCGAGTCGGTGATCTCTTTATCGTGAGATTACCAGACAGTTGACAATTTTGTTGCGGGTTTTCACTGAGCGGGTTCATACCTGTGCACCTTTTTAACAGCGCAAGTTTTTTTAAAACTAGTATATAATATACCTAATTCCGACTTATTGATACAGGATAACAATAAATTATACAACTCCTCAATGAGAGTGGAGGAGGAAGATCAGAAAATCCTCGTTCATTTCGACGAAAATGAGTCTACGAACTTCAGCTGGAAGAAACTTGCCGTTTTTATGGGTCCGGGATTTCTCATGAGCATCGCTTATCTTGATCCAGGTAGGAATTTGGGTATTATTGTATCTTTACCAGCACCATGGGATATGTTTCATTTATCGTTGAAATCTTTAACTAACTCTGAAACTAAATGCTCAGACAGAAAGACAGACCACTCGGCCATTGTGAGGTGTGTAAGCCTGTCTTTCCAATAGAACCAGCTCAATGGTTGTCAGATTCAAAATAAAGCTAGGTTTAAAGTTTACTTCTCTCTTCAGGCAACATAGAGTCAGACCTTCAGGCCGGTGTTGTTTCTGGGTTTGATCTGTTATGGTTATTATTATTAGCTCACGTAATGGGGTTCCTTCTCCAGTGCCTTGCTATCAGGTTCGTTTTTTAATTATTTTATATATTTTTCTAGAAGTTATGTTTTTTAAACTGATAATAATGTATTTAATAAATGAGTTCATTTAGAGACACTCTTAATATACCAATTATTATTGCTATCAAGCTGCTCCATCAGATTCACACCCCTCCCAAGTATCTGACTGCTATTCCACCAGGTTGGGGGTGGTTACTGGGAACCACTTGGCGGAGGTGGCTCACGCTCAGTACCACGTGGTACCACGTGTCATTCTCTGGATCATGGTAGAGATTGCAATTATTGGCAGTGATATGCAGGAAGTAATAGGTAAAGATGATGACTAACCCTTAACATTAGCTGCGTACAAATATACGATAAAATTGAAACTCTGTTGTTTTCTTATAAAAGAGTGATTAATGTTCAGTTATTTAAGTTATTAAGTTGTTTAATTTGATACTGACTGACTGTGTACAGGTACTGCAATAGCACTGTATATCATATCCAGTAAGAAGATCCCTATCTGGGGTGGGGTTCTGCTCACCATCATAGACACTTTCACTTTCCTTTTCCTCGACAAATATGGACTACGGTTCGTTAAATACACTTATATGGAATATCATTCCTCTAGTTTTTTTCTCAGTTACATTTAAATCCTGTTTTCAATTATATTTGATACTGTGTACTATGTACTTATGACCAAGTTACATAATTTTTACAGAATCGTAATCAGCTTGGTAAGACGAATCTTTTAGTACCAAATTTATAATAGTTAAAGACACAAAATTTGTAAAAAAATGTGTACAATTTGTACAAAATTTATACAAGGGGGGACCCTTGTGTTCGAGCTAGAAAATTATTTAAGACAATTTGTCTTCTAAAATCACCTATTTGGTACTAAAAGATTCGTCTGATCAAGCTGATTACGATCCTGTAAAAATTATTTCAAAAAAACTGATACTTTTTGAGTAATAAGCATTTTAATCTGCCATGTTTGGCCCTTTTTTACGATGAATTTTACTAAGTCGTTTAGGCCACATTTCATAGCTTAAAACTCAAAATTGAGAGAAATCCTGTTCCAAAAAGCTTTCCATGATCATCAACTACACTCACAAGAAGTTTTGAAGCGATATCTGATGACCTGGGCGAGTGGTAAAATGTACAACTTTGGTGGTAGGCAAAAATCCCAATTTTTCTGTACTGTGTAATTAATGTACTGTGTACTTAATGTACTGTGTACTTAATGTAATATAATGTATACTTAATGTACTGTGTAATTAATGTACTAAGTACTAACATATCTCGCCTGGCAGGAAGTTGGAAGCGTTCTTCTGTTTCCTGATTGGAGTAATGGCGGTTATGTTTGGTATGGAGTACTTCTGGCACCTCCCCGACCAGGTGGAGATCGTTAAAGGGTTCGTCCCGGGCTGGGGTTCAGGACATTGGGACACCACAGTTACTATTCAAGCTGTGGGAATGATCGGCGCTGTTATCATGCCACATAACTTCTACCTTCACTCTGCCCTCGTGCGATCTCGTGAGGTTTGTCATTTTCATCACATGTCAATTGTTAATACAATAATCTCACTCAATAATACTTCATTTAATGTATTTGATGGAAGGGTTCTCCGTTCTAGTTACCTTACTTGGCATATCTTCAGATCGACAGAACGAACAAGGGAGCAGTTAGAGAAGCTAACAAATATAACTCTATTGAGTCAGGACTGGCCCTTGTCAGCTCATTTGTAATAAACTTCTTTGTGGTGTGCGTGTTTGCTAACGCGTGGTACTTCAACAACGGTCCTAATATGGACTGTAAAACTACTCTCAATCTCACAGGTAACAATCCCCGCCCATCCTTCCAACATAGTGAACATCCCGTCTTCTTCATTGTATTACACCAATCATTAATTTTAAACTAACCACCAGAAGGTATTGACTATTGACTACTAGTAAATAGCACTAATATCACCATAACTGTGCAGATGATTCAGTGGACCTCTATAGCGCCGGAGAGTATCTAGAATGTAAGTTTGGATCTGCTCTAAAATACATCTGGGCTATTGGTATCTTGGCTGCTGGCCAGAGTTCTACTATGACTGGCACTTACTCAGGTAATGGCGGTTTCTTTATCCATTTTCCCGATCTATGGCTTTTGAGGCAACGCTTCAAAAAATCATTATCGAGGGTTAGAAATCGAGATTATTTCATGATATTATATAACGACCGAATTCGCATCCGTCCGCTCGACTATTATAGCTAGTGCATGCGCCATCTCTGAAGATGCTATGGTAATATTCGCAAAGTTATTTTATATTACGTAACTTCCGGGATGAAGCACTGTCGTAGATGCGCGGCGCTAAACAGAACCAAAAATCGATAATTAGAACTTGCATACAGGACTGAGTGATTTAAATGAGTTGGAATAAGTTATATGAAAGGATGTAGATCGGGACATTGAGCGGCCGCCCTCAAAAGAACTGCATTTCTTGTCGTCAGCGTAATCTGGCTAACGACAATTTATGGAGCTTAAATTAGAACCTGATCGTAGTTTCTCTCCAGCATTCTTTGTGTTATTGGTGAAAGGAGCGTGACTTATATTACTTATTTCAGGTCAGTTTGTGATGGAAGGTTTCATAAAACTGAAACTCCCTCGCTGGAAAAGGGTTCTGATCACTCGGAGTATTGCTATCTGTCCGACAGTCATCCTAGCAGTTGTCTCCAACAACAACATCGGCGAGCTCTCCAACTTGAACGACATCCTGAACATTCTCCAGAGCATGATGCTCCCTTTTGCTCTGCTCCCCATCCTCCAGTTCTCCAGCGACAAGGCCATCATGGGCTGGTGCAAGTCACCAAAGAGCATTCTGGCTGTCATCTGGATTCTAGCTTTCCTGATATTTGGTATCAACGTTTACCTGGTTGTTGCTTCTGTGATAGGATTCAAGCTGAGTCATGGCTACATAGCCCTAGTGGTGCTGATCTATGTTATCTACAGTGTAATTGTGGCCTACTTTCTCCTGCAAGCACTGAAGATAAGGGTTCCTCTGCTAGAAAAGTGGTTCCCGTCACCCGCTAATAGGGCTGATAATAAGAGAAATGTGGCCGATGCAGGACCTCATCAGTTTTCTGAGAGTGATAGAATTATTGAGAATGAAGTGTTTGGAGGGTAGAAAGAGAATTGAAAATATTTAGGTTTATTTGAACACGATTTACTGATTTGGCTCTAGCATACATCGATGAGGTTATGTTTCGGTTGAACAACGATCTTTATTTTGACTGTTTTAAATTAAAATGATGCCTGTAATACCGCTGAAATTATTTAAAAAACGATTCATTTTTCTGTCGGTTATGATTTTAGTGAATTTTTTACTAAACTCAGATTATTTTTTGATTATGATCAGTTTGCTCACAGGGAAGTGCTCTGCTTGCCAGTGCTTTTAAGCTGCAATTTCCGTCCCATTTTTACTTTTATGTTTTAATTTTATATTATTTAATCTTCTGTAAATTTGAGTTATAAAATGTAATGAAGCAACGTTAACCCCTGATTTTTGGTAAAATTGTATGTTTGAAGTCGAACTCTAAACTCACACATGATCGCATATAATATATGATATATATAATATGATACAAAAGAATTGTCTATCAATAAAATATCCGTGATTGGTGATACAACAACTGGGTCATCTCACCCAATTTTGATTGTTGATAGGGTCAGATGACTCATGACTGATGTAGTGTGAAAAGTAATATTTTTTCTTTTCAATTATATTGACAAATTCGTCGTGACCTGTCCCACTCCCAGTTTAGAAATTAAGCATTTTATTTTGTTATCAAGGATTTGCGAGGGGCATTGTTATCGGTTTTTATTACGATGTGTTAATCAGTGCGAGCTACATTTCAATGGGCTATCTTCGGTTCGCGGTTGGGATGGATATCTTTGTATGCGATTAACACTTTATTTCAAAGAATACCACTAGCTTCTTCCCTGTTAAGTGTTACCACGGGCTTTCTAGTATATAGTAATAATATGATGGCATAAATTGAATTCTGTACTGCAAAATTACTCGTTCCTGTCACAACTTGACGGATGTTACTCGTCTAAATTTCTTCGAAGTAGCGCGCGCCGCTTTCTTCTCGAAATGGCCCGACGGCATGAGCTACGAAGTAGCGCGCGCCGGGCCAGATCATTAACAATGGTCAATGATTGGGTGACTGTAATCAATTAAATTTGATGAAACTTTCAGGAAATCTAAGTTTGATCAATATCTATAATCTCTGAAATTTCTGTGAATGTTTATGAACATTATAGCCTGGGGTCCCCAGGTAAACATTTGATTGGACCTAGTTTATAGTTCATAGTTGTGGATAAGTCAGCCACCTTAATGTTCAGGTTTCGTAGCACATAGCAGGGCAATGAACATAATTGTTTATTCCGCATCGTTATCAGTTATGCTTACCTGGGGACCCCAGGCTATAATGTTCATAAACATGTAGACACCGAATAGAGATTAGGTGGAATGACAGACTGAGCGCTGCCCAGTAATTCGTTACTATGTATGCAGAGCTTCGTTGCTATAATGGAAGGGATGGTATCATCAATCAACTTAGTATAATGCTTTTTGGTGTCCCTTAACTATTTAAAACACATATGTTGACTGTTGAGTCTCTAGTCGGATTTTATTGTAGTTCAGGCGATTCAGGGTTATGCAAAAGCCAGGCCCAAATTCATTTTAAAGTCATAGCAGCCACAGTACCAGGTTGCAGAGTTGGTTCATTACTCAAAGCACACTTATCAAAAACGCAATCTATTAAGGCGTTTGATCAGTCAATTTAGTCATTACGATGACGTCCTTATATGGAGTAAAAATTTCCCCACACTGATAAAAAAGATTCCCAATTAAGAATGAGATTAGTTTACATCCAATTAAAGACATCAGTGATTTCTCTCCGTGGAGACAGAGGTGCGAGAAAAAACATTGTTGATATTAACAGTCTAGATCTTAACTTGGAGCCACAAGGCCAAGGGTAAAAAATTTTTGATTGTTACGGGAATTTTTTGAATTCTTAAAGGGTTGATTTTATATAGGGTCATTGCTATATTATGTGTATATTGTTTGAATAATTTATATATTAAAGACATCTGACAGAAAAATGTTCTCCAAGTTACGTAAATATCAATGGAAATGGACTTTGATGGATAAAACTAATTAGATTTGATCGAAGCCCAAACAATGGTTGGGATGTGATTCACACAATCAGCGTAAGAGTTAGCACTAATATCATTTAGGTCCGCATCAAACTAGCTCTGATGTAGTTCATGTTTTGTAATGTGAAAGGTTCCATTAATTTAAGGAGTAAAGTAGATTTCCATTAGCCAATAGTAACCAGTGTCAAGCACTGGTCGTCCTAAGATAAGAGGGACTCTTCATTGCTTGGCTAAGGCCACATATACCAATGAGCATTAACTGCATAGTTTAGGAACTAGACTTCCCAGCTAGGCATACACATATACATGTGTGCATGTGAGTGAAGCTGTGCCGCAAAACCAAAATTACTGCAGAGGGAGTGGTGTGTGCTGAATTAAATTGTATATTGAAAATATATACGAGTATATGCCTCACAGAATGGCTAGCCTCACAGAATGGCCAAATTTGTAAATGTTTTTGTAACTAATTTTTTATATAAGACTGGTAGGTTTTGTGGATACCATATGAAACAAAAGTCTTCTGGCAACACTTCCTGTGGTGAAATCATTAACTAGGACCACATTTTCTGGCATAAATATGACTGTTTATGTAGAAATTTTTGAACTAAGTTTGCATTTTGGTGAGAACTTCTGGCACCAGTATGACAGAAGATGTTTAAAGAATAGTATTCATCAAACAAAACGAACATTGTTCAATATAGGAAGAAAAAAATGCTAAAATGGTTACACGCCTCACAAAATGGCCAAAATATGCCTCACAAAATGGCAAAAATTTAAAACTCCTTTTATTGATGTAGACATGTTAGTTTTGATGGTCTAAAGTATTCACAAGCTATTTATCATACAATAACACCCCAATCTAGCCGAATGAAGGTTATAAATCATGAAATCAGGGAATATGAACAACGCCTCATAAAAAAATGCTAAAATGGCTACACGCCTAGCCTCACAAAATGGCCAAAATATGCCTCACATAATGGCCAAAATTTAAAACTCCTTTTATTGATGTAGACATGTTAGTTTTGATAGTCTAAAGTATTCACAAGCTATTTATCATACAATAACACCCCAGATGAAGGTTATAAATCATGAAATCAGGGAATATGAACAACTCCTCACAAAATGGCCATTTTTGGTGTAGGAAATTATGCCCTTTTTATTCAGTTCTAAGAAATTTCACCTATATGGGGGTGTTAATGAGGCATATTTATACCAGCAGAATGCCTGAAACAAGAGCCAAAGGTTTTAGAAAAATAAAATTTTCTCGTTTTCATTTTTTTTGGCCATTTTTTTAAATTTGTGAAATAATTTTTCACAGCTCAGTTTTTTCGTGAGTTTTAGGTTATTACCCCATTCCTTAATAGGTTTTCTTACAACGTGTGGTGATAGAAATTTAAAAAGTATCTCCATCAAAAAATTATATTAGAAATTCAGATTTGGCCATTCTGTGGGGCATGTTTTTTTGGAGGAAGATTTTCCGGCCAATTTTTCTCAAAGAAAAAATGATTATGAGATTAAATCAACCCCCGGGAAGAAAAATATGAGTGTCAACTTAGCTTCTTATGAGATAAAAACTGGAATAAAGTGTGTTTTGTGATTTTGAGAGACCTTCCTTTTTTGGCCATTCTGTGAGGCATATACCCGTAGTAATGATAAATGATTTAAACATATGCCTGCTCAAATTTAGATATTTACAATCCACCTGATAGAACATAGATTTGTTGTAGCATTTAAAAAGATAATCCATAAACCATTCGTTAATGATAATTTTTTAAAAGGTGCGGTTCAAGTCGCAAATGGTGTAATATAACAAGAATTATGAAATAGGAATTAAATTTTGATAATTTTTCTTTAAAAACAACTATTGCAAGATGGGGGCTTATAATTTGTATTTTTTTATTTGATTTTAAATAAAGGATACAATTTAGAAGTTGCTGCACCAAGATCATAAATAGGTAGCAACCAAAATATCAGATTAAAGAGGTGAGGAATATGCTCACGTGATAGGTTTCATAAGAATGAGACTTCGCTTCTCTCTACTCCAGAGCGTCCTCACAGCTGTTCAAGGGGGGGGGGGGGGGGGGGATGCAACGACCATTAATGTCAGTAGATGGAATTTTGTCAAAACTGACATTGTCATTAATGGTCATTAATGGTCATTAATGGTCATTAATGGTCATTAATGGTCATTAATGGTCATTAAATAATTGAAATTCTGAACTATCTTGGAAGCAACATGTCCAAGAAATTTACAATTATGATCACTTTGTATCACTTCTATAAAGTTTCTCACAGCCCCCTACATAGATTGCCAGAGTCTCGTTTGAGAAAACGAATTAATATTCGCCTAATAGAGGCTCGGACCTCGGTTTCGGAATGAGTGCCAAGCACCATTCTGTTATACGTTGGTAACTTGTCTTGTCTGTTTGCTTGTTTGCATTTGACTTAGTATAAATGCTTGTTTGCAGTTGACTTAGTATTTAAATGCTTGTTTACAGTTGACTTAGTATAAATGCTTGTTTGCAGTTGACTTAGTATACATGCTTGTTTGCAGTTTGCGTGGATTTGAATTGTATTGATTTATTTGTGTTGATTGCTTTTGATAATTTGGATTTTCAATACCTCCTCACAGTACCTTCTATGCCATCGTCGAACATTGCCATGGCAAGTATTTCTCAACTCTGGTATAGGGCTGCTTTTAATCTAATGGTTTGATGTTACGATTTACTTTAATAGTAATTAGAATATTTTAAGCGAATGCTGAATCAGTTTCTTTTACTTATTTGTATACGTCGACGTCGAACAATTCGAAAGGGCGACTCATTAAGTGCTACCTTTGTTCCAAAAAAGGCTAAACGTCCCCTTCGTTGCCTCGGTACCATCTTATCAATGAGTGTCTCTGCTTCAAAAAAGGGCAACTGCAGATCTAGACGAATTCCTGCCGCATCAATTTGTCCCTATCATGATGACAGTGCTCGATTTTGGGTCAAAACTGCCGAAGGCAGAGTATTGAACTGTAAACGAATTGTTCTATCTAATCCTAGGAAAAGATCAGCTTTTTTGTTGTCCGATTCAGACTGATGACGATGTATTTCATGAAGTGCTAAAGTTGAATAAGTTCATCTACTGTGTAATTACTATATAATCGACAAGCATAATGATTTGGCTAAAATATAAATCTTGATATGATATAAGAACGGGAACGAAGTATTTAATTTTAATACCCGTGTTATTATTATTTTATTATTGATTGTTATTTTACTATTGATACGATCTGATACTCCTAAATTGCCCTTTGAATTATTATTATTGATAACTATAAGTCACCAACTGTTATCTGGTTTAAATCCCGTGGCCGCAAAATTTGTTCTTCATTACATTCGAACTTAATAAATGTAATCCCTAACTCACTCTGGAATCCACTCAAGTGATATTCTGGAAGGTCTGCCTAACCACGGAAGATTCTATTCTAAGTTTTCTCTTTCGAATCTCTAATTGTAAATGTAAAATAATAACATATACTTGTAGTTAGTTAACTTAAGGTAGGGTCTAAGTGATGCAGGCGTCCGTCCTTTTCGCTCTAAGAAGTGCCGGAAAAAACATGACCATTAATGTCAGTAGATGAAATTTTGACAAAACTGACATTGTCATTAATGGTCATTAATGGTCATTAATGGTCATTAATGGTCATTAATGGTCATTAATGGTCATTAATGGTCGTTGCATCCCCCCCTGTTCAAGAGGTCAGGGGAAAAGCTGTCAAAGAAGTCCATGATGGATTCCTATTTCACTGTGTTTAATCTCCTTCTATATTGTGAATCATAGTATGACTGTTGGTATGACACCCAGCTTGGATAATCTGGCTGTTTTGAGTTAAGGCCAGAGGGGGGGGTAAATGGCACTTTTCTAGTTTTCACATATTTGATAATAGCTGCTGGAGACGAACAAGAAGAAAAAAACCGGATCAAAATCTGACCTTGCGTTCCTGAGATATCGCGCGCTAAATTTTGAGGTTTACCTGTAATTACATGTTAAACTGGATCTTTAAACGGCTGTAACTTTTTTGACCTTTCGATTCCTTAGTTGAGAAAACCGGCCACTCCCTGATCTTGAGGTTTGGTACAGTGGTTCCGTAGACAATTATCCTCATTTATTATGTGAGCGATTTTTTTTATTTGACTCGGTTCTCGAATTATGAGGTTAACCATGTCAAAAATTCGGAAAATTTAGCTGGTTAACCTCATAATTCGAGAACCGAGTCAAATTTAAAAAATCGCTCACATAATAAATGAGGACAATTGTCTAAGGAACCACTGTACCAAACCTCAAGATCAGGGAGTGGCCGGTTTTCTCAACTAAGGAATCGAAAGGTCAAAAAATGTGTTTTGAGGTAGATGCAATTTAGTGTTTTCAAAATTTTGAATATTCACTGGAATGTATCACAGTTCGTTAGTTAGGACTTTTTATACACTTAATAACGTTTGCTTGATCAGACCTGGCCGTCCCCTAAATGATTTTAGCCACTTTCAGTAGTTAATGTCCTTGTATTGTAAAAAATGAGGTTAACCAAGACTTCCTGTAAACACTAACTGCTTAAAATTTGGTTGTTAACCTCGCTTTAGACCATATAACACTGGGATTGGTTTATCAATATGTTATTATATATGTAGTAAAACATTTGCACAGTATAACGATTAAGGTTTTGAGGTTAACATGTAATTAACTGGTCAGATATTCAAAAAATGAGAGGTTAACCTCATTTTTTAGCCATTTACGGGTAAAATCTTCTACTAAAATATGGTCAGTTCAAATCACCTTTGTCACGTGATTATAGTTGTAGGCATTGTGATACCAATAGATACCTCACTTCGATATTGTGGTACATTACATAAGTAAGAATCGTATGTATATTCCCTACGGTACCAAAATGTGATGGTTAACCTCATTTTTTTCATTTTCTCAAGATAAAAGTAAAGTCAATCAACACGTCATCTATTTAGAAATTTGTATACCGTAAACTTACCACGAAAATAATAACTCTATCATTTGATCTATTCTCGCTATATCTAAAAGAAGAGGTTAACCTCATTTAATCACGTTTGGATATTACTTTTTCTGATAATTATGAACCTAAAATTTAGAGTTTACATTTGCTGACCGAAATAACAAAAAATTATGGCGTGTAATAAAATATGAACCTCAATTTTATTAACCTCAATGTTGTATAGTCAATTTTGTGAAAATCGGTTAACCTCAATTATAAAATAAAGTTAATCAGCTACAAATATGTGAATAGCAGCAATGTTTTTGTCATCAAAAATTAAATCGATTTAGAAAATAATATTTTGGTAGAATTTTTTGACCCCTTACCCCCCCTCTGGCCTTAAGGAGATTGATAGAACCCTTGGTGTAATGACAGGCATTTCTAGTTTATTCCTTTCCAGCCTGCACTGGTACCTCAAACTTTTTGTCACAGAATTATTAAACACTTTGCAGCTTATAGGAATGACATTAAAAGATGCGAGGACAACGTCACCAGGATGAATCACAACCCAAGGAAGTTCGAGGAGAAGATCGCACTAAACAAGCAGAAACAAGCGGAACAAGACAAACAGTTTGAGGATATCATTCGAGATGTCAGCAACATCCGGGACAATGAGGTTGGAATATTTATACACAGTATACAATAAATACAATATACATGTGTACATATTATAAACAATAAACATAAACTCTTCCACCTCCTTACTAGTGGCAAGGAGGTGGTCATCTTTAATTCCACAACAAAACTAATACCTCCTTAACTTGGGATTTTAGAGCATATTTTTGCTACAAATATATCTAAAATATATACATAATATGAAAGTGGCTATCACGTTTTGCATCACTATTGAGTTCTAATTCTGGAGTGCTCTACTTAACTTGGATTGTTTTTGTCAAATTTGGAAATAATTGTCATACTTTAAATGGGCATGAACAGTAAGGTATTTCGTGATGTAACAATATATTTCTTCAGTGCATCTCTAATCAGTTCCGTTCACTGCCCAACATTCATGGACCTCCTCCCGGGATGTACCAGTATGTAAGTATACAATCTCCTCACGTCATATCCATTCTAGTCTACTTTAGAAGTCACTTTAGAGCAAGCGAGTGCTGTATGTTCTGTATTGAGAACTGCACATGTACAAAGCTGTAATTTAGAGAATTTGATCGTGTAGAATTGTCCATAATAATCTGAATTCCCGATTTTAAAACCAAGGCTATCATCACTATGTAAGTCACATTCTGCAACTAGAATGGGTAGAATGTAGACCCTGACTAACTAACTGATCATTGCATTGAATATATTTCTCATTAACATGCATACCTCCTGCTTGGTAACCAGCCGCCCTGCTCAGTCCTGCTTTATCATGCAGGACATGCTGTAACATGCTTTAACATGTACTCTTCTTCAGAACATGGCCGCCTTCAATGCTCCTGTAAACCACCAAGACGGGTTCTGGAACGCAGGTAATTAAACTAAATGTATTTAAACTTCATAACCAGTTGTCAAACTGGAGATAGTGTATGAACTACTGAGTATGTTACTAGTTTCTACTGTCGGCTTGTAGTTCATTTCTTATTTATCTCTTATTTTATGTCTACATATCCGTGTCTATTGTTTAAATACTAGTACTCAAGTACTCAGATATTGTTTGTGATCATGTTGCCGTGGTGTTTGTCCCGGATGTTAGTTAATTAGTAATGAGTAATAGTCTGGCTGACAGTTAATTACTGAAGCTTCAATACAGACTAAGTTCAAAAGGTCACACAAAGTTAGCAGATTACCGACACCAACAAGCCGCCAAAACACGTGGCTTACTTTAATCCTGATAACACAAGTGCTATCATACACATTTTGATATTAACTTCCGGTATCCGGAGCTTCGAATTGATAAATTGACAGGTGCTTTAAGATCCCCCCTTCTATTTCAGTATACTGAGGTATTGCAAAACATAACGTCATAACCTCTCACGTCACTGATATGTTTTGCATTTTTAAGATTACCCTCTCACTAGTACTAGTTCGGGTGTATTTCGTGAGCTTATTTCGTTAAGTAAATCGTCTCTAGTCAAGTTCAGGCCTTGTCGTTAACCCATGAGGTCACCCTTGTAATATTTGAGGTATTCATAATCTAATTTTCAGATATTCATCACGGATTGAACCTTCAACTACCTGAATCGCATCAAAGGAGGTTTTTATGCGAATCATTTTTGCACTCAATTCACGGAACATGTGAATGGTATTAATTAATAAATTTAAGTAATATTACATCATAATTTTAACAAATCTAAGTAATATTACATCGTAATTCTTTCGAATTAAATAGAAACTCACGATTTAATCCCCTAAACCAACTTCTCATGACTTGGTAATTATACTCACTAATTAAGCATTTTACTTACTTACTTACTGAACATTCAGATCATTTAAAACAAACAATCTTTCTCAGGGTGCTGTCAGATTCTCAACTTCATAAAACAGGAGTTAAAGGTAATATTTGTATTTCTTACAGCATATTGCCAATTTATTACACTTTGTAATTTGTATTGATGTATACATTTTTAGGCGTGTGATTAAGTGCTTAGGTTTTCCAGTGTAAAACAAGAAAATGTATGTGTAAAATATTTACTTTTTAGTTTGCATATAATAGTACATTCCTTTACACATGCTTATTTAAATAAACCAACCATAGACTTTAAGTAATCAAGGAAATAATCTGTTGTTGGAATGTTGTTGTGGTAGGAACGATACCGCATAATACTGCGTCAAGTATGTTTCTCTACATTACAAGGGCAAAACTTGGTGTTTTGCAGAAGTAGCATTATATAATCAAGAGGCTTGCATATGAACATATTGACATGGGTGTAGAGTTGAGCCTGTAGTCTGTACGGAACCTAGTAGTTTCAGTTCCTTGTTTAACTTGCCGTACAGCAAGGACATTCACTACTTGTGCCAACCAGCCATTAAAATATCCCGTATACCTTTATCATTATAGAACTACTTGTCGTTTTAGTAACTTTATTTCCGCGATGAACTCCAAGAGTAACCACCTAAAATTGACGTTGCAAAGTTTGACGCAGAATTGTAGCACTGTTTTATCGATAACAATATTGAGGCAGTGATTCGATTATTAAATAAAATTCAAAACGATAATTTAATCGTGCACGTTCAAAATAGAGGAATGGCCATGCAGGCATGAAATTAAGAATATGTTCCCCAGGATATTCAGTATGTTCATTGTTCATTCCTAACCTCAATTAGTTGAGGAACATTAATTAATGACTATTATTTTCTACAAATGATGAAACACAAATTGGGAGGGCGGCCCTGAATGAATATTAAAAATTAATTTAGCGTACATAAACCTGAAAACTGGTGGGGAAATAAACCACACGTTTATACACGTGACAGGGGTTGCGGGAAGCTGGTTGGTTGTGGACAGTCCCTAATCAGTAATCAGTTCACCTTTTCACCAGTATCCAAATCCGCAGCCCCCACCCCTCCCTTTTTGAAGAGTAATAAGGCAAACCCTAAATTCTCTTCAAACTGTGTAAAACTTGTCATGATATTTACACATGTCTCATCACTGCAATATCGACCACCTCATACTGCAACTATTATATAATAATATTGGAATGTGCAGGCAAATGTAGCATTATATATAAAACCTCAGTCGCAAGAAGACAATTCGGGATCAGTTGAATATGTACGAGTCCAGTGTTGCCTTATATGGTGCTAGATAAAGTTAGCTCTAATATACCCGGCGCTGTAGTTCCCAGAGAGTTCACCTTTTAAATTGACAATGTTTTTTCTTACAGGAGAATCAGAAGGATGGAACAACCACTCGGTAAGTGTTTAATTTACCGTGTAAACGTGCGTTTTACTTGACACCTTAATCACATCTACCTCCAGTGTTTAATGGAACGATTAATTAAATGAAACGACATTATATATGGATATGGTTATATTAAAAAGACTATTATAATCGTGTTCGCATTTTTTAGATAATGTCATGTTTGAATTGAAACTAATAAGACCTTCTTTATTTCGTTGGCGGTAAAATTGTAAAATAAAATGGTAAAGTAGGGCTTTTCTCGAGATATTTAATCAATATTTGGGCTTCTCTCGTGTTACAATGTATAGTACTTGATAGAATTTCAAGGAAATAAAGCTGTTGTGTTTCAGTTACCGAGGCCCAAGTCAGCGTTAAGCGTCAAGTAAGTATTTAGAGGTATTTACTAATTTAATCGTAAATTTAAATAATTAATTAAATACGAGTGAGTGATTAATATTGGTTCAAACCACACAATCCTTCCCTCACCCTAATGAAACCAGTTGAAACCAATCTCTCATTCGATGCTTGCAACTTTTCTTGATTCCGCTCTATTTAAAGCACAAAAAGGATGGCAGCATTTCTGTAGAATCCAATGTAGAGACCAGAGCTAATCATTGTCAGAACGCTTCTTCACAATTTTCTCTTCATTGGCATTACAATTATTTTTATAAATGTTTACTGACCACAGCTGCACTGTGTAGTATCACGTAAACTGCCACCGACTTGATCAAATCATGCCATATCAAGTATCAAACTCTACCGATACTATTAAAATGAGACTGCATCAAATTGAGCTGGCGCAGACAGACTTCTGTTTCTAGAGAAGCCTGCTGCTGTATATTACTATATTTGTGGAGGGAGTTAACATATGTTACAGCAAGCTTCTCTGATATAGCAATATATAGAGCCTATGTTATACACTGTACAGCGAGCCTCTATATATTTCTAGTATATAATATATATTGCTATATATTGCTACAACGCAGCTAAATTGTAACTACAGCTGTTTAGTGTGGAATTAATGTATGTTTTTTGTTAATGTATTGTCTTTTGTTTCCAGGTCGTATGAGAACAGCATATCTACCAAGACTAGTTCCTTGCCAGATCTGTCGCAGAATTACATTCCTGTTCAGGACGAGAGCTATAGTCAAAATGTTAGTGTAAACTTTTATAGATTTATACTTATATGCGTTATATTTTATTAATACTGAGTGTATTGGTCTTGAGGCGCCTTTCTAAACTTCACTAGATGGATTATCATTTGTTTATGACAGCTCCACTAAGTCTATACAGTTAGGCTCGTTTTATTGCTTAACAACACGCTCAATAGATTATATCATATATAATATTACAATAATATTACAATATAGTATGTATAATATACATGTAAAGTTGTTCATAACATATAAGCTTGACTGTGGTTAATAATAAAACAATTGTCAAGTAACTTGACCAGTTATTTAATGTATTTATAGAAATATAACAACTTTACAACTCTCATTTTCAGATCCTACATCAGCATTATCTGGACGGAATTCCGGGTGAGTTTAGATAAGTAACCTAGTACACTAGTACACTAACCTAGTAGTATATAAGTAACTACTAGTAGTGTATAGTAGTGTTTACTAAAGAGCTTTCTTATTAGTACAGTCAAATCCGTCCTTATTTGAGCCTTTGTCGGACAAAATTCGCAACAAAGCGATTTTAACGGGATATGGTCGGGACAGGTCCCAGGAATCATTCCAGAAAAGTCCCAAAAAATCTGACTTGAGCAAAATCCACAATTACCACTTTTTTACCACCTTTTTACCACTTTGGTTTTCCGCAAATAAGTCACGTTCTGAATATCTTAGAAGATTCTAGTTTAAAGCAGTGTGTTTAGGAAACAAAGGAGAACAACTTTTTCTTCAACAACTTTTTCAAAAATAAATTATTTAATTAATTAATTAAATAATTAATAAATTTTCAAATATTTAAAAAATATATTTTCATAAAAAATGTTCACAATCAAATTCCACGTATATTGAACTAATTCTTATAAAAAATTTGAAAATTTTCACTTTCAATATTTTGGACTTGTAAAATTTGTAAAGAATAACTAAACCACTATTTACCACTTTTTACCACATTGGATCTCCGCTAATAAAACGACTTCTGAATGTCGTAGAAGGTTTTAGATTGAACCGATGTGTTCAAAATATAAAAGAGAACAACTTTTATTCGCCAACCTTTGGATTAGATAATTAATCGATTAATTAATTAGATGATAAGTAAATTTTTAAAAATTTCATAATTTTTACCAAAAATCTTTGCCGTGACGTAAAACGTAAAATGAATTTACTTGAATAATAGAACAAACACCGTCACATAGATTAGATAACAGATAAAAAGAGATGCAGATAAATGGAATAAACGGTAAAATATCCAAATTTGTACGATACTATTATATTATAGATAATAACTATTTACACATCATCTCTCGACTTAGTGTTGTGCTTTTAAACTAGATTGTTAAACTGGTTCGTTTGGAAGCGTAAGCTTCAATATTTAATTTAAGGAATGAATCCTGGCATCACCAACCAGCGATGGAAAGTGAAAGCCCTCCAAGAGTCTATCAGCTCCAACCCGATCCACACTCCTTTCTTCACCTTGACGGAAACCCACCTCAAGTCGTATCACTTAGATGCAGAGGTTCACATCCCAGGTTATACCGGCTACTGAGCGGAGCGTACCAGTCGAGCTTGTAGCGGAGCCGCTACCTATCTCCACAACTCCATCACAGCAGAAGAAACAAAGTCCTTCTCAAACTCCTACTGTGAACTTGTCGCCATCTACAGTAAAGAAGCTAACAGTAACATCGTGATAGCGGGCATTTACCGGCCCCCTTCAGCTCCTTTTGACAAGTTTGATGAATGCCTCTCTACCCTCCAACAGTTCATCAACGGAATTCAACACACCCCTGTACTGCACATTACAGGAGACTTCAACCTACCCTTTATCAACTGGACGAATTCTTCTATCGACTCAGGATGCAGTATTTCCCTTTCAGACCGACAATCAGCCCTAGCACTTCTGAACTTCAATGAAGAATGCCTGCTCCAACAAGAAGTCCTCGAGCCAACTCGCAAGAACAACATCTTAGATCTCGTTTTCTCAAACGACTCTGACTCTATCCATAGTATCTCTGTTACCAAGACAGAGTTATCAGATCATGACATTGTGAGCTGCACTCTCCTCAATCCTGAACTCCTCCTCCCCTCGCAGACTCCGGAACGGCCAGTCTTCACCCCCTCCTGCCTCCTTGATGACATTAACTTCAACACAGCAGACTGGGATGCCATTAATGCAGAACTGGTAGAAGTAGACTGGGCTTCTATCACTGACCCAAGCAAGATGTAGCGACCATGATGCTCCTGTACAAGTCCTACGTACGATCTCATCTGGAATACTGCTGTCCTCTGTGGTCTCCTCACATGCAGTGCGAAATTATTAAACTCGAAGCAGTTCAACGATCCTTCACTGCTAAAATCCAGGGTCTTGGAAATCTCAACTACTGGGAACGCCTCCGTCGCCTGTCTATGTACTCCCTTCAAAGGCGTCGTGAGAGATACACTATCATCCTAGTTTGGAAGATCTATAACAATCTTACTCCAAACAGTATGAACATCAACTTCCGCGAGACCTCACGATACGGAACTACGTGTATACGACCACTAGGGTCCTCCAAGTACACTAGTGTCAATAACCTGAGGTTCAACTCCTTTGCCTCTAGAGCCTCTGCAGTCTGCACTGTACAACGTGGTCCCTCCTAGCATCAAGTCCCTCCTAACCTTGACCGATTTCAAACCTGCTCTTGATGCTTTCATCAATGAATTCCCTGACACTCCACCATTCAACACCTGGGTACACTGGACAGAAGAGGAACTCAATGCTGGAGTGGGCCGGTGGCACGTGTCTCTGACGCGCTACTACTTGGCGGTGGATATGCAAGACATTCTTGGCCTGGTAGCACTTTAGCTCGGAACCCAACCAAAGTAAGTAAGTAATAATAAAGGGCCTTTAGAAGGAGTGCATACGCTAGGGTATTGTTTCTCCGTAGCTTAGTGCACTAGATTCCCACTATAGGGATCGTGCACAAAGCCCAATTACGGTATCGTAGCACCCTGTCGCATGATTAGCGATTAGGTAATCATTGATTACCCAATCAATTTCGCTAACGAGATAAACGAATTGCTTGATGACTTCGTCATTTTCAGTCTGTTTCGCGCCAATATCTTTTCAGAATTCAGATCATATTCCGAATGTAATGGCCTATTGCAATGTGCAGTTAACAGCATGTTCGCAAACACGATTATGTTGATTACAAGACTCAACGTATGTTTATTATTAATTGTTAATTATTCGTGTTATGCAATTTTAAAATATTTTGATCGAAAATAATTTTTGAATATTTGTTAAATAATTGATTAACTGATTAATTAATTATCTAATCCAAAGGTTGACGAATAAAAGTTGTTCTCTCTTATGTTATTAACACATCGGTTCAATCTACAACCTTCTACGACAGTCAGAAGTCGTTTTATTAGCGGACATCCAATGTGGTAAAAAGTGGTTATTCTTTACAAATTTCGAAAATTTTATAAGTCCAAAATATTGAAAGTGAAAATTTTCAAAAGTTTTATGAAAATTAGTTCATTGTACGTGTAATGTAATTGTGAACATTTTTTATGAAAATATATTTTTTAAATATTTGAAAATTTATTAATTGTTTAATTAATTAATTAAATAATTTATTTTTGAAAAAGTTGTTAAAGAAAAAGTTGTTCTCCTTTGTTTCCTAAACACACTGCTTTAAACTAGAATCTTCTAAGATATTCAGAACATGACTTATTTGCGGAAAACCAAAGTGGTAAAAAGGTGGTAAAAAAGTGGTAATTGTGGATTTTGCTCAAGTCAGATTTTTTGGGACTTTTCTGGAATGATTCCTGGGACCTGTCCCGACCATATCCCGTTAAAATCGCTTTGTTGCGAATTTTGTCCGACAAAAAGACGGATTTGACTGTACTATATTTGCTAATCTGGTATATTATAATCCTGTATACTTGATTATTAGTTCAGAGTTGCTAAGTAAACTGAGCTGTTGACAATAATAACTGTTACTTATTGTAACTTTGTACGCACTAATTCCAATACTATGCTTCACCAAGTCTGGACCTGGTGCATCTGGCTGCTGGCAACAAACCCTTACCAAAAGGAAAACTTGTATTCACTGATTGATCATTGTGATCATTTCCAAGATTTAGTAACTGAATTCTCAATGAATATTTATTCAGCCTAACCTGCAGTAATAGTCTCATTTCGTCTCGGTAGACGATAACAAGTACTAGCCTCACTGCACAGCCCTCGTTGTTGCAAAATAGCGCACAATCGTCTAGAACAGATCACGTAATAATTGTAACCAATGTAGTAGCTATCAGTAGCCGGTAAAAAATGTGCTCAAGTATTTTACATGACCTGTAAAACCTCATGTTACGTAACGGCGACGTGCACAGGGCGTACTCCGGACAGGTCACGTGCCATGCTCGTATTGGTCACGTGACTACCCACCGTGCTGATCTTTGTTTGTTTACATGCAGATTCGGTGGAATTTAAACAAGTCTAAAAAATTGTGGTCGATAAGCTAAATGGAATTTGAACGATTCGGGTCGGTGTGGCAGAGGATTTTAACTAAAGTTTAAAAGTCACACATGCAAGATTACGTATCCTGTGTACTGGGATTATGTAACATAATATTTATATGTTGCTCATTATACACTGTTATCTGGTGATAAGGACCTCCCTGCAATACCTAATGTCTGGTGTACATATTAATTGTACATTATTTCCCCTCCAACTCACAATCCTTTTTATACTGCTCCTGTGAAAATGTGCGGAGTTTTTAAAAACAGCATGCTATTACACACGTTGGTGTATTGTTAAGCTTTAATTATTGAAGCTCAATGAATGACGGAGTAATCATTGTCTAAATATGTTTTCAAGCTCAAGTCTACGTTACGAATTAGCCAATATTTGAACTATCTAATGTGTATATTATGTATTATATATTATATTATATGGTTAAGTTAGCCATATATAATATATAGATATGCATAATCAAAGTAAGTAATAGCTATATAATATGTCATATTATATATTATGTAATGGGACCTGAACATCACATTCAGTTGCGACTCGCGTCTCTTCTTCTATCCATTGACAATCTACCTTCAACTGGAGCTATCTTGGGTTAAGAGATCAATAGATTTGAATACTGGTTGGAAAGTGTACCATGTTTGTTTGACACTGATCATGATTAGATTTTTGATTAGTTAATACCATGCTGAATGGTTGGAACTCATTAGTTTATCGCCACCGCCTACATTAGATATGGTATGATTCTTCAACAATATGCAGTTCATGAAACGTCTGTAAATTAAACATCAGATGAGACCACTAAGTTTAATTTATGCAACTTAAAATGTATTTATTATCTCTACTAATA